ATCTTGTCCTCACTTACACTTCTTCGATAATATACACAGATTTATTTCGAATAGGTACCCTCAGTAAATCGAAAAAACACTGTTTGTTGTTTTTTCTCAAAATTAGCTTTTTCGAGTATATCGTTTACACGAACAAACTATTATTAATAATAACTTAATATAAAAGTGGTAATGTTTTTTATTACACTGCATATAGTTAGGATTAGGTCGTAATAGGCCTATTTTTTGAATTTCTCTTTTTCAGCCATAAGAAACTTAGATATTTGAATTTATTTAGTGACTTTTTGTGTACTCAAAAAGTGAGTACACAAATAAAATCGGTCAGTGTGTCCGGCCGTCCGTTTATTCGATAACTCTTCACAATTACATTCGATTGAGCTGAAATGTTGTGCACAGCTTAGTCTTGACAATATCTCGGTCGAGTTCGAAGATGAGAAGGATCCATCAAGAAATGGCTGAGTTATCGAAAAAATTGTGATTTTTGACCAGAATTTTCTAAATTTTTTGTTTAAAACTTCTTTCTCTCGAAAACTGTTGACGTATACTATCAAAGTTTTGCTTAATCTTCGAATTCTATTAATTCATACTTTTCTATATTAGCCGCAATCAGACTCTGCTAATCGATAATACTACAACTTTATTGATTGAGACTTACAATAAAATTTTTCGCGACACTATTTACCAACATTCATAATATTTCGATTAGTTAATATCTACAGTAGACACGTTAGATTTACAGAATGCTTTGAAAGACTCTAGAAAGTTTGAGAATGATCTAAACACTGTCATCACTTACGTGCTTTTTTTTTGTCGTTATGAAAATATACGCAACAATCTTTGACTTTCTTCGTCTCAGGTCCAGTTACTGGAGAAGAAATCACAAAAACTTCGATTTAAAATTACACTCACTAGTTTCTTCAAAAAATCATGTTGATTTCAAGAAATATATTATCATTCGCATAGATAAGATATTTATTGTATTTTAAGAACATTTTATATTTCATATTTTAATTTGATTGTCTGTAGATTTTTCATTAAGATGTAAATATTGATATTTAAATAATAAATATATAAAATTCTACTACAAATAGAATTATAGATTCAATTCTTCAGTTTCAAAAAACTACTGATAATTAATGGTGTTTTTTTTTTTATCAAGTATATGATTTAAGTTATATTTAATTATATATTTACTTGCTCGGATCTCCTCTAATTTTCTATAGTCTAATAAATCAATATGAAGATTATAATTTAAAAAAAAAATGAAAATATCGTTTAACTATATTAATTATTTTCAAATAAGTTAGTATTAAAATATTAACTAAACTGAAAACATTTCTTTTTGTCTGTATCCATCTATGATCAAAAGGTAATTGTCAGACTTTTTTTTTTCTTTTCTGTTCTGTCTATGATTCGATTACTTGAAAAAAAACGCACATGTAGTTGAAGAACAATTGAAAACAAAACCCTATGAAAGCATTTACACGATACAAAGCACAGTATAGTTTGTATGTAAGAATAATGATCAAACCTTACACCATGCACACACACACACACATCGTTTTTCTTTTTCTTTTTTCTCTTTGCTAACTGACAGAGCACTCGATTGAAGAAGAATTTTTTTTACTTGCGAATGGTATTATAATGAGACAGATAGTTGATAGAAAATAATGAGCAGAAACGGATGGGTGTATGTGTATGTCATTGCATACTATCCTTTTCATCCTTGTTTTTCTTTATGTATATATATATATATCTATTCAAACTTGTTGTATGACTAATACCTTATGGCGTCCATGGTATCGTTATTATTGTTTTCATTGAAGGGTTATGTAAACTATTCTCTTTTTCTTTTCTATTAATACACGATAATATTTTAAGTTTTCGTCACATGTATAATTAAAGCGAAGACATTCTTACTACGAAAAAGAAAACAGAAAGAAGATAATACGACGCTAGTAGGACACAGAGACAAGATTATTTCGTTGTTTGTTTTTTTTTCGAAAGAAAAGAATAATCAGAAATAGATTTATAGCATTACTTATACAAAAACTAGATCTTTATTGTTGAGAAAAAAGAAAACTATAATTAGGATTGTTTTTTATAATTGAACAGTCATTTCCAGATGTCACAATCAAACGAAGCTCACTCATGGATTCGTTATCTCCAAGGACTTATGATTGTTCAAATATTTCTTGCTTATATATTTCTTGTTAGTGGTCTTATTGTTAATTTGCTTCAACTTCTCTCAGCATGTTTCATATGGCCATTTAATCGAGCTTTATATCGAAAAATTAATTATCATTTAGCAACAATTATATGGAGTCGTAAGTTTTCTAAATCTTTATTTTTCTGTAAGAAATACGTTCAAACATTATTTATTTATAGAAATGACATTTGTCTATCAATGGTGGTAAGTTGTTGAGTTTTATTTATAGACAGAAAAGAATACATTAATCACAAAACTTTAGTTTAATATATTGCATGTTACACGTCGCGTTTTTTTTTTTTTGTTAATTAAATAATCTTAGTCAACAAATGTTCTAATATTAGAATTCGATTCTTTTGGGAATATATATTTTACTTATTTTTTATTGATTATCTAGGTCCAATTCCGATGTAACGGTTTATATTAAACCTGCAGATTTAGAAAAAATGCGTCAAGAAAATTCCTTATGGTTAGGTAATCATCGATATGAACTCGATTGGTTACTTGGTTGGGTTGTTACACAAAGGCTTGGATTAGCTGGAGTTAGGTTTTATGAAAAAAATTTGATTTATTTAATTAAAATTAATATATAGGGTTCAAAAATTTTTGGTAAACAATCTCTTCGTGCATTACCAATAATTGGTTGGTGTTGGTATTTTACAGAATCAATATTTCTACGACGTGTATGGAATGAAGATAAATCTATACTTGAACGTGATATACAACGATTGGTTGATGATTATCCAAAAAATTATAATTTTACTGTAATATTATTTCTTCTTTATTTTCGTTAAAATAATTTTAAAAATATTTTGAATTTAAAAAAAAAAAAAAAAAAAAAATAGTTATTTCTATCATGTGAAGGAACTCGTTATTCAAATGAAAAACGTCTTGAAAGTATGAAAGTAGCACGACAAAAAAATTTACCTGAATTACAACATCATATTTTACCAAGAACAAAAGGTTTTGTTTTTGTTATGAAAGGAGTTCATAAACATAGTAAGTTAATTTCTTTTTTTTTTTGGAACTAATTGTTGTTCTTGTTTTTTTAGTTACTGCAATTTATGATATAACAGTTGCATTTCAAACTCCAAAAAGTCCTGATTTATCATATATTTTAAAGGGTCAACAATGTCAAGCTGAATCATTTATTCGACGTATTCCAATATCAGAAATTCCATATGATGATGATGAGAAATCTGCTCAATTTATTCATAAACTTTTTCAAGAAAAAGTGATTTATTATTATTATTTTTTTTTTATTTCTCAATAGATATTTTTTTTTTTTCATTTAAGGATAAAATATTTGAACATTTTGTACAACATGGAACATTTGATGGAGCTGGTAATCCTAAATCATCAGATTTCAAACGTAGAAAGCAAGATTTAATTATTGAACTTAGTTGTTTAATTCTTATTGGATTACCATCAATTTATTTATTTATTCAATTTTTATTATTTGGATCACTTTTTTCGCAGATTATTTTTCTCTGCATTGTTATCGGAGGTAATTTTAAAAAAATTCTTTTTAATATTAGAAAATTTCTAAAGAAGCTTTTACTAAACAAATGTGATGAAAAAATGTTTATCTAATAACTAGAAATGAACAAAACTTATAGTAGATATATGCAGTCTCATCTGCGTTGTAACAGCAAATATGAGATAGTATTCAATGATAAGTTTGACCTTGTCTTTCTTATTCATTCACCAAGCACCCCATGTTTTAATGATGCCAGCTGGCAGACTATTTTTAGAAATTTTTAAAAAAAGACATGTATATTAAATGTTGAAAAGTTAAGAGAAACGATTTATTCGATGACAAACTCATTGTTTCTGAAATACCATTTGTTTTATTATTCCATTTCATATTCATTGGTTGAATTTATAAATTAAATCATAATCAATGTTAATTAAAAATTATTTTGATAAAAAAATCGATCTAATTTAAAACTTAGTGATTTTCATTGTGACGAATATAAGAATATTTAAATTCGTGTTAAACTTAAATATGTCAAGTTACATCTTCCGTAATTAAATATTCTTTTGTGGTATTTTTAATTTTATGTAATTTTTTTTTTCGGTAAATATTCTGAAATATAGCAATATTTTTAAAAGATATCATTGAGCAACATATATGAGAATGAACAAATAAGTATTCAGTTATCATTAGGTACGGTTGCACTGCCGGTCGAGAAGAGTTTACGTGACGTTTACTCACCTCGTTTTTTTTTGGGCTCAGTACACATCTTTAGCTTCTGGAAATATCAGTTATATTTGTTTTTGAATTGTCTGTTCAATTCGATTCATAGGAATTCAAGAATATGTATATAAATATTTGTTTGTTAGGTATATTTGGTGTTCGTTTAATGATGCCAACAGCAGCTCGATCTAAACTTCCTACCAACTCTATCAAACAAGAATGAAATATTGCTAACTGATTTATGTGATTGTTTTTTTTTTTCTGTTTGTCTTTATGCTTTTTTTTTAAATAAAAAATTGCATGCGTATTTATTTAACAAGTAAGCAATCGATCAACAATGCCTGATAAGTCAAAAACATAAAGCAAAAACGTATTTCATAGAAAAAGAAAAGAGTGAACAACGGATTACACGTTTATATGCAGAACAAAAGATAAATCACAGAGAAAAGGAAATAAATAGAATTATACACACACTAGCACATATTTTATTTATATTATTGATCAAAATATCATTATAATAATCTCCAATATTACCTAATAAAAGTTATATTACTTCTTAATTTTTAATAAATAAATTTGCGGAATGTTCAATTATGTCCACATTACATTTGGAACAAGTCCTAAAATAATTTAAAAAAAAAATAGATCTCTTTAAATAAAAGACGTCTCAGAAATTCTGAAATAATTTTAAAATTCATCATTCTTGTATATTCACAAGATCAAATTTTTTTCAAAAATTTCTTGTATTACTACATTTGAGATAGATAGCTTTTACAATGATAAAAAAAGATTGTGACAAGGATAATTGCATTCTATTTGATTGGTTTTTATTTTCAAAATTCTTTCCCAAATACAAAGAAACATACATTAGATCATCAATGTTTATGAATTTAATTATTATTTTAACTATGCTCACTCACATAAACAAACATTAAACTTGTTTCATTTGTTTGTAATGTTATTTTCTTTAATTATTCATTATTATCGTACAGTAAAATCGCTCTAATATGAACGCCATAAGTAGTAACCAAAAATGCTCACTTTATGGAGCTGCTCTTTAATTGAAAAATTTTCAGATTTCTTTTTTGCAATCCACAAGTGTTCCACAGGGGTCACTATAACATTGAGATGCCAACTCTATTAAAATATACCCTTTTTGTAAGGGTGTGTTCCAGTGTTTCAACGAACACTGATGGCAGTATGTCAGTGACATTGATAGTTGCTAAACTGACGCTATACACCCCCAGCACAAGCTGACATTTTCCTTATTTCCCAAACTTTATGAATTCAACTTTTTTCATTAGAAGTAAATCAACTCGCGCCGACATTATTTGATGTTTCTAGCTATTCATACAAAAAAACAACAGGATGTTACATGAAGAACTGTTGCTTTTGTCCAATAATAGGTATTTTTTCTTTTAAATATGCACCTTTAGCCCATTCCTTTTTACATATATGTCTTATGATTATTTATCAAGGCGCAATATACATAATGTCAATTTTTTTTTGTTCTTCACGTGAGTGATAGAACATATGTTGCTCACATTACAAGGGTTGTTAGTGATCATGGGATAATAAATAAGTGCCCACTGATGAGAATAAGAAGGGACTTACATTGAGAAGTTTTACTATAGTTTCATCTTTGTAATTCTACATATGTAACCTCGATCACATTGATAGTCATTGTTTTATCCAAATATTCTCTTTCAAAGGAGTGATTTAAAACTGTTCGAGGGAAAAATCCACATTTTTCGAAACACAGACGTATTGTATATGGCCTAATAACCAGAAATTCGTGAAGGATATAATTCAATCTTGGGAACAATGCTGCTTCTACGCTGTATAAAATATTATTCACAATACAATATTCTAAAGTGATTCGAGAAACCGAAAAGAATTTTAAAGGGTATTAAAATCCACAAACATCCTTTGTTTAAAATCTAAATCAACTTTTTGTAAACTCTTTAATTCATTTTTCTTGTTTCTGTAGTTCGAATGAATTTTGTATATCTATCATTAGTTAAATCTCAACATTAACATATACAAAAAAAAAAAAAACTTGTCTGGGAAGGAGTTGATTTTTCAGCATATTATAAATTTCTGGGATATGATTTAAAATTTTACCTTCACGGGTTCGAAGACTTGGTAAATAATTTTCTTCATCAAGAAAATAAAGTGGATACTCGACAATTGTACCTTGAATTTCTTTTAATTTTTCTTGTGCCTAAATAAAAGAAAAAGAATTTCTAATGAAATAAAATAATTATATATATATATGTATACTCGTATTGGATCAATATCTTTTAATTTTGGTACTTCAGTATATTGACCAACTTGATCAAATCTTCTAACACGATCACTTGGTAACGTTGCAAATACTTCTTCATATATAAGTGTATTCTTTCTTGCAGTATCTCGAAAATAATTATAAAATTCATCTGATACTGGATCGCTTATATCAATATTTTTAGGATTTTCAGTTAGAATACCTAACATCATTCTAGAAAACAGCAATATTTAATTGTCATTAAAAAAAAAAAACAAATAACAATAAACATACGCAAAAAGTCGTTTTCTCCAACTAGCACAAAACTTTCCTAAACGAATTTGTTTTCCATTGAATATACCATCTTCTTCTTCACGATCATTTATAACAACGCAAAATTCACTATCACGTTGACCAAGTAGTGAACGATCATTTATATTAGCACTACCACAAATTGCCATACGATCATCAATTATCATTAATTTTGAATGTACATAAATTATTTCAGTTACCTAACGAAAATTTATTATATATTTCATTAAGAATTGCTTGAAATTTACTTACTAAAGAACCCATTAGAACATCATGAGCACGCATACCATAAAAACTAATATATTCATCGGGTGGAACACCTAAAAAAACCAGATCATTGCTTTATGAATAACAATATTATGTTTTCTGTCTTATGATAATAATATTCTATTTTATTTCACCATATGATAATTACTATACAATCTATATAACGGTGAAAATCAAAAAATTGCAACAGATGGTACAAAAGTTTCTGCCTTAATTTTGTTTTCAATCTAGCGTAATAAAAGTTCATCGTGAAAGTTTAATCATTTTCCTGCTAGAAAGAGCAAAGCCTCTACTATAAACGAGTGTAAAAATATGTGTTTCAAAGTACCTACTCAAGAATGGAAAGTTTGATGCAGGTTTTTCGAATTTAGAAGAAAACTTTGTACTACTAACGAAGGAACATTTTCAATTGATCAATCACTTTCTCACAAAAAGCTGATGGGTAATGAATTATCGACCAAACCGATTCCGAATATGACCATCAGAAATTCCTTTAGATTTTCATATGGTAGTATCCTAGCGAATCTGTTCTTCAGATTAACAAGCATTTTGCTAAAATCGTTTGTGATCTACTCATACTAGGAAACACATCGAGTTGTTTATATGGCAATAATCTCTTCTGTTTTTTAAAAACTAGTTTACATAAAATGATATCATGAAGATTTCCACAATGAAATATTGTTGTGCATCTGTTGTATCATAGCGGTAAGTAGGATAGGTTAAGATAAAGGTAGGTATGTTGCAGAGTAGAACAAGATAAGGATAAGACAATTTTTCTCAGGCAAGATACAGAGCATGAAAGCAGCTTACCCTGCACATCTCTATTGCATGAACTAAATGACTGTATTTTCTACAAAAAAAAATATGGTTTAAACAGAAAAATTTACTGTTTTCTAGGATGATTCGATATGTTCTATAATCTGGACAAACTAAATAACAATTGTTGGCAAAAATTTTGCTACTATGAAAGAGTGGTTCTTGAGTGAAGCAGCATATAAAGATCTAAAGGACTATTTTTATGATTATATTTGGAATGAGCATGATCGATACCTGACAATCCATCTGTTCTCGGGGACAAACAGATCGATCAACTGAAAGCATTGATCCTAACTTTCCGTTTTTTTTATCGGATTTTATTGGGCTACAATAAAGCATTACATTTTATATTCAATTAGAGTTTAGTGAGGGTTCTACAAAAGTACATTGGACAAAATAGAATATTAGACATTATGAGGAAAATTCCATCGGATGTTCTAAAAGAAAAATCAAGCTTTTTTTATAAAACTGTTTCCTGTGGAACCTATGATTTGCTAACTCGAATATTTTTATACCGCGAGAAAAGCCGCATCACATTTATATCGTAGCTAAAAATTGCCAAAACCAAATATAAGATCGAATTGATCAAATGCATTTCTGATTAGTAATTCTGTGTAAAGTTTTACGACACTCTTCCAGTCAAACATGTTCTTAAAACTTTTCAGCGTCTGGTGAGGTTTTTGAATGAAATACTTTTTAACTGAAAGCGAAATTAATACAGAACTTTTATACCATTCGTTAATTCATCAGCTGAATAATGAATAAGTGTTGACGTTATTAGCATGATAGTATGATAATTCGCTCAATAAACTACAAATTATGATATATACATCTAACGAAAAAACATCCTCAAGTATCATATTGTTTTTAAGCTATAGTGATGATCAATCGATAGGAGTCTACTAAGTAGGTAAATGCCACGGAACGGCTCTTGTTGCTAGCTCTTGGTTGCTCAGATATCAAATTTTTAGTGCATTTTTTCCTACGAGATCGACTATAAACTCGATATCTTAGCAATAAAGTTCCAGCAATACAAACCACTTCAGGTTATTTATCTACTCCCTAGGCTCTATCGATTGAACATCGTCACAGCTTAAAAGCAAGGTAATATTGGAAAACGTTCGTTCATAAGTGTAAGCCTGACTAAATTTCAGGGTATTTGTTTACTTTAGACACAGCCTTCATCCTCACACAGTGCTGTGTGATATATTAATCACGCTAATGAGTGTGAAGACTGTGTTCAAAAAGTATAGAATTGAATTTAAAAAGATTATTCTATTCAAGAAAGCACAGGTCAAATTTTTCTTGTTTACAATAGAAAATAAAATAACTTAGTGATTAATTTCTTTGTTCTATTTTCCTTATGTTATTTTTCTATGCAAGAAAAAAATTCTCGTGTTAAATATTCACTCGACCTCTTAAAAAAATGAAATCTTCCCACGCAGGAAAATTTATAAATAAAATTAAATGAAAATTAGAACTCTCTAATTTATTGAATTAAAAAAAGTTCTTGTTTCAAAAACAAATCAACACTAATATTTGCTAAGACTGAGAATGAGAGCGCATAAAACTTTTAATTTGCCTACTACGGATTTTGTTTCCAGTCAAATTGAATTACAGAGATCAAATCTTTAAAAATTTATCTATATCTTCAGCTAATTTTAATTATTTGCCTTGAACTCAAAATATCTGGCAAAATGTTTGAAATTAATGTACATTTTATCTAGTAACAGAATTTCTTACGGCTACTGTATACTTCGAATAGAATCCGAAGCTTATGCCAACATTATAGCACGAAATTTTGTAGTTCACTTTTGAAGTGAACAGTACTTGAATGATCCATAAAAAGGCACAACTTGCGCTATTAGTCGTCTTCCCAATAGGTTATAGTTTTTTTTAGAATATAAACAAAAATTTAGCGATGGCAAAAGTGTATCAAGATGTAAGTTCAATAGACCTTTGGTTGAGGCTTCAATGTTTTCTATCATTCATTAATTCAGCTATATCATATTGCTTGTTCAACTAGTATAATATAAATCAATATGGAAAGTCTGTGGAATGCTTCCCTATCTTCAGCAGCAGTTTTCTTTTTCAAAAATGCAATTAACCATTTCATATGTAACTAATTTTTAAAAACCTTCAAAGTTTATTTTTAATGTACACATAACGTTTTTTTTTTATACTATACTCTTTTCCACTAAATTCTACAGAGGATCAAAGATAGTTTTTCAAAGAAAACAAGAAGAATTCTAGAAAAGTTTTGATGTAGACGAAAATTGGAGAATCTTGTTATGTTAATTCAAAATATTATATTAGTTTTAATTCTCATTGAACTTTTTCTTAGCAAAATCTTCTAAACAATCATTAACAAGATACTAAATCGCACTACTAGAAGAATGTGTTCAAGATTTTGGTTAAAAGAGACAATATCTATTGAGTTTGAAAAATATATGATTTTTTTCAGGGAATCCTCAGAGGAAGTATAACAAAAAAGATGTCTTGAAAAGTAGAGTAGCATGATAGAATCACAGTATACAACGCTGATATGTGTTGATTCTACTCGACAGAAATGATTCAGTTGAATAAATGAATTGAACAAGAAGATTGAAACCTCAATACAAGGGAAGTGCATTGAAATTATAAAAATTCTTTATTGTTATTGGCTGATTGTCTACATACATTCCTAAAAATCGGCAAGTAGAAGTATCATTCTTTTGTGCATGATCCTAAAATTAAGAAACTAAAGCAAAGATTGACAAACTTAATATTTAAATATCGTCGTATACATATGGCCTTGACAAAATTAGAAATAAAACTTATTGTGAATCGATTCAACGCCTCTATTCATCTTCTTTCTTTTGATTTTTCAAAAAATATATCAATTATTACATTTCTCAAACTGTATATTGATATTTTATTTCTTAGAACATTTGTCATTGATTTTTAGTTTATCATATTTACCTGCTCTTTCCAATCGTTTAAATAATGATGTTTCACCTTTAGTAATCGAACGCATAATAAAATACAGTACAGCTTGAACTGCATTAACATTATCAAAACCAGGCAATAGAGGAAGAACAATATAGATTCGAAATTTTTCATCCGATCTAAAAACAAATCAACAAAATTAAGTAATAATTTCATTTATAATCATAAAATAAATCACAAACGTATATGCTCGTACTACTCTTCGATAAAGAGCTTCAGCCAATTGATTTTTTACTACATTATCTCCGGCAATAGTAATAAAAAATTGATTCTAAAAAAAAAAACAAAAAAAAATGATAAGAATTTTTGTTTCTTTATTAACATACTTCAATATAAATATAATATTTAGCAGCATCAATCATTTGTATATAAGCATTTTGAATTGAATTTTCAATGATTTTTGTTCCAATTGACCAAGGTCCTGTAGAACGAAGACACTAAATATATTAACAAAAGAATGTATTAATAATTTTTTTTTGTGCATTTGATAATAATTATTATTTACTTGAGCATCCACTTCAAACGGTCGACTTTCAAGAAAATCTTTCCAATAACTAACTCGTAATTCTTCTGCATCATCATATGTTTTTGGTAATAAAAATGGATAAGATTCTTCGTAAAGAAATTTTTCACACTTAAATAAAAAAATTACGTAAAACAAAACTCTTTTTTTCTTTTGTACTTTATGAATATTCCAACGTTGAATAAAATGTCTTGCAACATCACGAGCTACTTTACCGAATACAACAAGTGCTTCATCATGCCATGGCATACGAGGTACTGCTTTTCGATCAATAAAATCTATTTTAAAATGAAGATTTTTTTTTTTTTTATAAATAAAATACAAAGAAATTATTAATAAATAAACCTTCATTATATCTTTCAAGTGTTTCAAAATCTTTTTCATATGGATTTGAATAATCTTTTCCAACAAAATATCGATGTTTTGTATCAATAACTGGTGATGGTCCAATATATGATTGTGGTTCTTCAGGTTTTTCTTCATCTTCAGACTCTTCTTCTAGAAGACTTTTTTTCCTTACCTTAAACAATAAAAAAATTTTTTTGTTTCTTTTTTTTTTTTTTTTTTTTTTTCTCAGATTTACTTGAACTAATTTTTTCCATCTACGAACATATTTTTCTGGTCGTCGTACAGCATCTTCATCATCTTCAAGAACTTTTTGTTCAGCGTTCATAGTATCGTCTGTAATTGTAAAAAGTACAAAAAAAACTAGTAAGTCTATCATTTTTCAACAATAAAGTTGAGCTTTCAGTAATATTATTACATCATTGTTGATTATAATATTAGTAAAAAAAAAAATCACCTACGCCGTGCAAAATCTATTGACTGATGTACAAATTTATTAAAAGCATTGTGAGAGCGAAATCGATAAGAAGAAGCAGCATTAGTATGAGCAGCGTGATCACCCTGGCCAGTTTCGGATGAATCTAGTGATCGTATACGATTTAAATTAGCTTTTGGATGACGCCAATTAGACATTTGTTGTAATTCTAGATCTTGTTTATGTTGTGTGTTAGTTGCTTGATTTTCAGCATGAGTTAGTACACGCATTAAGGGTTGCCGTGTTATGTTATTGCTACCCTTTTCTGTATCACTATCAGCTCCATCACGTTCCGTTCCTATTGTTAGCAAAAAAAAATGTGCAATCAAAAAAAGAACATATACAACATGTATACATAGAATGATCTAAGGTTAAATACAATAACAAACAAAATGAATTTCGTGGTTTTTCAAATGAGTTTTAATGCAAGCAATAGTTCATTGAAAAAAAACAAATAGGTAGACATTATGTCTCCACTTACGATCAGTTTCTATTGGATGTATTTTATTTCTATTGGCGTTAGCTAAAGATAATTTTTGTTTTAAAAATTTCTTTTCTCGTTTTTTTTTTTTTTTAAATTTCTCTGATTGAGTTTGAAAGAGAGATTTTTCATCGTTGTTTTTTTTTTATTACTGTGTAAGAAATTAAATTCATTCTTACCTGAAAGTTTTGCTTCGATCCCTTAAAAAAAAAAAACGAATAAAACATAATCGAAAAATAAATAATTTACATTTTTTAGCTGCTGTCCGCGTATGATGTCCAGTTCCACTAGCTTGTGTTTGTTCTCTTAGTTTAATGTCTTCACTACCTTTATTTGGAGGAGTAACAGTTGTTCTCATTTTATCAGTGCCCTAAAAATACATATCATATATTTTATTTTCTATTCATTTTCAAAATTTAAACATCTATTTTGTACTAATGTTATTTATCTAATTTATAAACAAGATTCTTGAAATTAGCCGTGCAGCTTTATTGTTTATTTATATTTACAATATTTCGAATTTTCTCTTTTTTGTATAATGTAGAAGAAAATTTAAAATTTTGTATTCATATTCATTTTTTCGGGTTTTGTACTTACTTTAGCTGGTTTTTCACCTGCTTGTTCGGCCATTGCTGTAGTAGTCACTTGTGCTGCTTCAACAGTTTCTTTACCACCTGCTGCTTGATTTTCTGCTTCGATCTGACCTGGCATTTTTAGTTGTGTATCGTTGTCATCACCCAAATCGACAAGACTAGAAACAACAAACAAAACAATATTTACATATATATAAATCAATTCAGAAACAAAAATATTTTTTAATCATTTCATTTAGTATAGATCGATTTTTATTCTCAAAATCATAGATAGAATAAATCAGATATAAAACGAGACTGTCTCGAACGTCTATGTAACGTAGTGAAAAACTTGAAAATAGACATCAAGTTTGAGTTTTATGTAAAGAACACAACAAATTTAACTTAACTAAACTTACTAAGGAAAAATATTGAAAAAACAATTTTTAAATTGATTTTAAGACTAGTCAAGTTTAAAGGAATTTCTATGCTTTGTTCAACGTTCATCTCCTTAAAAATTTAATAACTGGTTCTCAGAAAATCAAACAAAAAAACAACATATACTAGATATTACTACTGAAATGGTATCTTCAATTCTGACAATGACTATAACTCGTTACCATTATAAATCAACTTCAACATAAAGAAATAGAGTGCTTGAATTTTTTTTTTTTTTTGTTGCTATTGTACCATGTATGAAAAAAGACAATATATTAGAAAAATGATATTTCTATTTTTCTAGTAAAACAAAACTTAGTCATTCGATGTTAATTTTGTCATGCTCTTCTTAACGAAACTGGAATAATCATAAGAAAGTCAATATTAGAAATATCGCACTTGTAACCAAAAACGAATTATAAGTTAGTTTTGTAATAGAAGAACATTTAAAAACGAACTACTTTTCAAATGTACATAATCTCTTTAAAAGTGCCGGAAGATAGATATCTTATCATGGTCAAGAAGTCCTAATCAAAGCAGTTTTATATCATACGATTGATCTGAAAAAATATTAGAAAATAAAAACTTATAAAAAAATAATATTTTCCATCGTTTCTAAGTCATAACTGTTTAACATCATGTTTTTTCTAATACAAATACAATGGATGGTATTTATTAAATGAGATAAAAAATTTTCCTCTGTTTAAAACACTTCCCAATATAGTAAACACTCTGTTTTAGGATCATTTGATAGAAGATTGTTTGTAGTACAAAGCTGTTAACTATTTTTTTTTTTTTACAATAGTTTCTTCTTATCAGCATAAAATTGAAAAGATTATCATTTACTCAATTGTAAAACTGTCACGATTATACAAAAGAATAACTAATGAAACATTTTTGATAATATCTCTGCTGAAAACTAAAATATACTAGAAGGATCTTCATTAAAATTTTGCATCTTTTTAGAGATGCCGAAAAAAATCCCTTTGAAAAGAAAACTTTGTTAATTGAAATGAAGTTCAAACTTTTCATTATTCAGATTTATATTTAACAAACGATTGCATAGAGACAAACGTCTCGTAGACGTAGCATGCCTCATGAAGCACATGCTTTATCAAAATCCATTCAAAAAACATCACCAGATGTTACTTTGAAGTCTTTTTTTCCAGAACGATAGCAACCATAACCTTGAAAAGATCGTAACAGTATGAAGAACAAATATTCTTTTTTTTTATTTTTATTTTATCTCGAGAAGAAAAAAAAAACTATGGTCAAAACAAAGTCAACAGTTTTGTAACACTTAAAATTCCCTATGGAAAATGAGTCTTAAGTAGAGTCTTTACTAATTGAGAAGTGTTCTAAAAAAGAGGAAACGTTTTATCTCTTATTATGCATCACTCGTTAACTACATAGATGAAATTGACATTCAAGAGTGTAATTTATGGACGAAAGGAAACAAGTGACGTTCTCTTCCTGCTTCTGAAATTCATCTAATTTACATCTTATCTTGCTTCGATATTTGTCAACAAAAGTGTCATATTCATTTTGTTTAATTCTGTAGTTCGATTTTTCCACAAAAGTAGACAGTTATATGTGAATAATCAATCCATATGAATAGTAAAAATGTTCAAGAAAAACATTGAAAATATTTTTCCTTCTAAACTCATCTTTGTCGTATTTAACATTTTAACTTTTTTGAATAAAATCAGAAGTATCTATTAATCATATAATTAACTTTGTTCTTTATGCAAATAATATGCGATACAAAAATCTTTCAAAATCTCGAATAAATTATTTCCCAGCGATTCTAAAATATTCTTTTTTTTTCTTATTATGTCGTTTCATCAGTTTATGCTGTGTTCTTTCGACTTTATTAACATAAAAATAAATGTACTGAAACACACCTTGAGTTTTGTTCTTTTTCTTTTTCGCTTCTGTTGCTATTAAAGTTTAAAATAGCGTCGGTAGGATACGATATGAATAAGTCTTTTTTATCAGTTACTGCTCTCTTGACAACTCTCTATCAATTTATGACGACAGTTTAGGCGTGAAAAAAAAGAAACCAAGGTGTGTTTGTCTGTTTAAGTAGATTTATTTTTATATCAACAAAGTCTGAATAAGACATCATAGACTACCGAAGCGTCACAACAAAAAAAAAAAAAAACTAACCAGAAAAAGATTTATTAAACAACTAATTATTAATTATGACTTTTCCTAAACAAAAATGAATGTCGAATGAGTTCTAATTGTGTTAAGAAAGTTTTAGAGATTTAAAACAAAAATATTGATTTAGTAATCAGAGAAATCTTTTTTTTTCGTATATTGCTGAACTGTATTTAACATCATGATTTACACTTCATTTCTTTAAGTAGATAAGAATTCCACTTAATTCATTGATTAGAACGAACGAAAAAAAATGTTTCTAAGAGCCAAATTACTTTTGAGTCAGTGCATCAAGTAAGTTCTAATAATTTATGCATACTTGATAGAGACAAGCCTTAATGAGAATAGTTTATTATAAAAGTTTTACATCTTTTGATTATTTCTATCCTAGGGCGCAACTCTGATAGAAGCATGTTTTTCACGTCACTCTAATACAGCAGTTAATTCCAATGCTTTTATTTCAAAGTCGATGTAAGCAAAAGATCTGAAACTTTCCACAATAAGTTATTCTCATTAAGATCTATCTCTGTGCAAACTATCAAGTTGAAAATCAATGTTCTTTGTATTTCTAACTGAATCATGGCATTGTTCTAAGACATATAGTTAGCTCGATAGAATTATTAGTTCACATATCATCTGAGGTGTTTAATTAATAATAATGACTAAGATTATCTTTAAGTAGGAGTAAGATGATTCTATAATTAAACTTTATATTAGTTTCATTTATTTTTTTTCTTTAATCTTTGAATTAAAATAATTTACCGCATAAGATCATCATCCCAACGACCAAAACATAAATCAATACCACCAACAAATGCAATTTTTTGATCAATAATAACTGTTTTTTCATGATGAGACCATAAGAAAACTCCACCACGAGGATAATGATCAGGATGACGAATAACCTCAAAAAAATTAATGAATTTATTTAAATTCTTTTAAATAAGAAAAAAAAAAAAAGTTTACTTTTATAAATCCTTTTTTACTTTTACCAATTAATGCTCGTTTTGTATGTAAACTATTTAAACCCATAGCAAATGACATTTCTTTAAAAACTAGAACATATACACGAACACCATTATCCTAAAATTTAAATAAAATCTACTAGAATATTAAAAATTTTTTCTTAAAAAATTTCTTACAGCTATTTTTCCTAATAAATTATCCAATCGAAATGTTTCATCATCAGATGGTCTTATCATCATTATTTCAGGTGAAAGCCACCAATCAGTTATAAAAACTTCTTCTTTAGCTGTTAAAAGTGCTTTTGCAACTGCTTCCATATAAGATTTACCATTAATAAACCTTTTAAATACATATCAAATAAAATGATTACCTATAATAAAGATAAAAATTAATTTCTATTACCAATAAGCATGTTGTTTTTCACGTATTGGTGCAAATGAATTAAAACGACTTGCTGTTGCACTAAAAAAACTTTTCGACTGTTCTTTTAAATTAAATAAATGTTGTGTCCATTCTTCAGCATCACGATTATTTCGACATTTAAGAACTAATGTTCGTTGTAAATTTGTTATTTTTATACCATGTTGTGTACCAGCTTGACGAAAACCAGTTGCAATTTCAAAACCACGATCAACTAACATTGGAAAACGTATTTCAAATGTATCAGGACGTATATAAGTCATATAACTATCCTTAATAACAAACCATCTGTATATATAAATAAAAATTTTCATTTTCATTTTCAATCAGGAACAAAAAAAAAAAACATACTTTCGACCATGATGAAATTTACATGTATCACAAAGAAATGGTAAACGAACAAATATACTATGACCACGATAATCATCACGTGATCGTTTAAATAAATAACCTTCTTTTAAACTAATTGACAAACCATAGACAAATGAAATAAAACTAACATCAAAAAATTCACGCTAAAAAAATAAATAAGACAACAACTCTAATCAAGATGAATCATATAATAAGTTAATTTAAAAAAAAAAATTGATGTTATTTTTAATTCATCAAAATATTAACCAAGGTTAACTCTTTGAATATTAATCTCATGATAAATATTAAAAGAGAAAATTTTGTCATTCGATCTAATCAAATATCTGATGTCAAAGTCTTATTCAAATCACTTACATTTAAATTTAAAAACGAAAAAAAAAGTTCTTCCTCATTGTTATCTACTTTCAACATGATGAATAATACTCTTTGACTAATCCATTGAGACTCTGTATATCATGTAAGTAGTCATGATCTATGAATATTCTGAAAATGACTTGAACTGCTTGCGCTTATTACTCTCAAGATTCTGTATTTTTATGGTATCTTTAAATGCAATGTCGTGAATCTCTTAAGAACAAAAGGATTATTAAGTTTGGAATTACATCTTAAAACTTTGCATAGGAATAATCAACAGCGAGAATAGTTTATTGTGAACGTTTGCTATCTTTTATTTGTTCGTATGCTTATGATCAAGATAAACTATTCTCATTATTGTCCTTGAATGAGAACGATGACATTTTGTTTAAAGATACCATAAAAATAAATATCTCCATAACAAAAAAAAAAACTCACAATACAAATCGTTTTCATGTTATTCACGGCAATTGGCATTAAACATGGAGTCTCAACTCACAAAGCAATTAGACAATTGGGAGAATTTCCCTTGTGAGAAATAAATATATAAGATTTGAAATGATTTCATATAGAACAATCTTACCATTGCTTGATGATTGCGAAATTTTGGATGTTTAAGAACTTTATTGAGATAATCATTAAGAATTTGCTATGTATGAATAAAATAAAAATTCTTGGTTAAATAAAAAAAGAATATTTTTTTAAGCATACACAACGTTCTCGAACAATATTATTATTGATGAATGCTAATCGATCATTTCTTGTTGGAAAACATGGATTTTCATTTTCTTCATCTTGAATTCTAAAAAAAAAAAAAAACATCATATTATTTCATGAAATAATCAAATTAAGTTTACAACAATTATAGACAGACAGAGAAACATATATCTGAAGAGGAAAAGAAACTTACGATCGTTGCGAAATGAGTCTTACTGGAACATTTCGCCTCGACAATCTATGATAATTATATTAGGAAAAAAGATTTCTTATGCTAAGATCTCTTTTTATATTGACAATATTATAGCTGTTTATATTTTCTCTTATCATGACTTACTTCTCTAAATCACTAATAGATCGTTTTGTTTCAGCTTCAACATATTGTACTAAAGCTTTGTGTAAATCATTAAAATGCCGATAACGTTTATAAATAGTCCATTCATATGGACCATGTCTTGTTGTTACACAATATCTAAAAAACAAACAAAACAAATTTTTTTACATACCAATATAAAGAAAATATTTATTAATACTTACAAGTAAGGATTCAAAAATTCAGAGAAACCTCCATAAGTACGTTCAGCAACAATCGATGTCACATGAACAGGAACATTAGGAACAAATGTTCGTCCAGAACGATCAAGTATATGACCAATAGTAAATTTGTTAGCTAATATAAAATTAATAGAATGAATAATAATAATAAATATGTATTTAAACAAACCTCGTTGAAAATGTTCAATTACAGGATCATTAAAATTATTATCAGGATATGGTAAATATTCATTATGTTTTCGATCTGGATGACCAGCACTAATAGCTAATTCAGCCATGCCAGCTGTATGTCGAACCAAAGCACTGACACCGCCTGTATTATCATGGCGTGCCATCTGAAAATAAATATTCATGATGTTAGTCAAAATAAACTAGTATATTTTGTCTCTCTCTATTACCATTTGTATCGATGGCTTAAACAGATAATCCAAAAAAAAACAATATAAAAAGCTTTTCGTTGATTGACTAGTCTCAAGGAAACTCAATAAAACTAATGTTAATCACGACGAACATATTTATGGCGGAAAGAAAATGATACTTCATATATATTTACGTATAAATGAAAGAAAAAAAAACTGAAGTTTATGATCATCGTCTTTACTCATAAAATTATCATTGAGAAGGTGAATAATATTCTATAAGAACGATTAGAAGAAGAGGAAAGTACAGAAAAAAGTATAATATAATTTAATCTTTTTATCTGTAATACTAAATATATATATATCTATACTGCAAATACGATTTCAATAAGTCAATGAATCACTGGATTTTTCCAATAGACTATCACAAAAAGACTACTACTATTACCATTACTATTATTATTATTCGAAAATAAAATAAGCTAGTTAATGAGTACGTTTCTTTTATAAATAAGCCGTTGGTATTCATAGGTAAAAAAAAAAAAGAGAAACGAAGTCAATTTTTTTCTTTTCTTGTTGCAAAACACAGAACACACATATAATTCTTTTTCTTTTTTTTTTTTATTGTTATCGCTCTTGTGTGTTGGCGAATAGGATTGATTTAATCAGATGTCACTGTAATAGATTTTGTTTTATAATTATAATTTAAAAGACTTTTCGATTTTTAATCAAATCTTTTGGAGTCATTGAATTTCTGAAATTCAAATAAAAGGATTTTTCTTTAATAAGTCATGTATATGAAATACTAGATCTTAATTATGATCTTTTTTTGAGTTGTAAAAGTACAACTCTATCTACCATGTGTTAAATTATCTGTGAATAATTAGATAATTAAAAATCTTCTTATGTAAAATGTATTATAGGTAATCTCTTTCGAATGAAATTATTAAATTTTCTTGTATTAATTTATTATCTACTTTATTTGTATAATATTATTATTAATCTGACAAATAAAGTCATGAAAAGAAAAAATGTTTTGCAATGACATAATCGAATAAAATCAACAATAAATGAAGAGTACAAAAAAAAAAAACAAAATTGATTATTCATTCATTTCACAATCAATGACTAACATTGCCTTGCGGCTCAATACGGAGACTTGTCTTCGACTCAATTGAAAAATAGAGCTTAACAATTGTCTTGGACTTTACAAAACTCACATATCAGGAAGAAAATTTTTCAATTTTCTCTAAACTTCCTATTGATGCGTGTAGCCTACAGCATACGAATGTCAACTGTGTTGTTTTTTGTGATATGATGTACCGAGGTGTTTGTTACGACACATTTTGAATGCATGATTGAAATCTTACCTTCATCGCATTTTTCTATTGATTCATATGTGAATATCATTACTTACTATTTTTTCAGTTTAAATCAAATTAGTAGCGCTAATTCTCTTTGAATTGTAAGACAGTGAGAGCTTAAAAGATTTACCCGTCTCGAAATAGTTCCTTCTAGACTATCAATCAATGTTCTCTCAATGCATTCTCGAATATTAACTAATCGATAAATGATGTAGAATATTAAAAAAAACAACTGCAGTCGAACATGTATATGTGCAACATATTTACCTTTTTCACATGTAGCTGCACGTGTCAAACAAAACTATGGATGAAGCTTTTCAAGATAGTTACAAGAAGTCAGACTTTTTGACTCTGAAAATTTTCATTCTTGCAACTTCGACTGCGACAATAAGAAAAATTTTTTTTTTTCGACAAACATATGACTTTTTGTGTTACTCATTAATGTGAATATATGTCTGAGAGTGTTTTTTTTGTTGAAACTTAAGAATCTATAAAGTAGTGTATTTTTGTTCATTACTTATCATATGAAGAATGAAGTTGTTGTTATGTAAGGGAAAAAGTACTTGATTATTTTTTTATTAATGTAGCTTCGAAATAGATTCTAAGAAAAATTCTTCATGATCACTTCGTCAGAGTCAAGTTTCAGAGTCCAATGCAGGTTTTTATTTAGTAGACAGATTAGAACATTTTATTTTAGTATTCATAAACCGTTCTTAAACCAAATATATTAAAATAGTATAAGACTTTCAAGATATGTTGGGACTATAGTGAAGTGGCTATAGCAAAAGTTTTCATTCCATATCATGACATCTTCGCGATATATTCAACAAGCAAGGATAAAAAATAACCCATTTGACAGTTCGAAATTCTCTATGAGTCATCATTCTATACACTAAGGCTTTTCCTAAAAAGCATGCCAAAATTTAGAGCATGACCGAGCCTCTTTTTATCAATTCTTATTTTTTAAAGGCAGCAGTGTCACATATCCAAGATTTTGGAGATGCCACGGCGTCTCCCGCGGGAGATGCCGCATCTCGCGCGAGAGATGAGGGTGTGGATGTGGGGGATGCGCATCTCTAAAGGAGATCTTACATCTCCAGTGGTGAATGACCACATCTCTCGAGTGTGGGTGCCGCGTTTCCAGCGGGAGACGCGGCATCTCCCACAGGAGATGTGGTGGCATCTCCAAAATCTTGGATATGTGACACTACTCGATCTACAAGTCTTAGAGAAGGATCTTATCTTAAAAAGAAATAGCATACTAATGATCATCGTATTGGTACAGAGCCTTCAGATATGTTCAAAGATAACAATCATCCAGCAAATGATCTCATCTTTTTGGGCTAAGAACGACCATAGATTGGGCTCTAGTTCTACGTTAGAGTCGTAGGAGTTGGTTGTGTATTTGATAAAAAAAACAATCCCAACTTTAGTAGGAAGTGTTTTTCAAATTATAAAGCTAAAAGTAAAACTAGATAGAGATCATCATATTCTCTTTGTACTTAAGCAATCATGGTACAGTTTCGTTGTTGATCTAAATTCGCGATAGAGTACGTATGTACGAATATTTAGGTCTGTAGCGTATTTTATAGCTAAGATATCTTTATTGTCTTATAATCCTGTTAATTTTTCTTTAGCTGTACAGATCCGTTTGGTTTAGTTTATATCATAAAACACTATGTATATTATGGAATATTTTCTTTAAGCTGTTCGTTTTTTGTCCGTTGAATATCTAAGTTTTCGTATTGGTTGTTTAACTCTGTGTTGATTTAGAAAGCTGTTTCCTCGGTTGGTGTTATTTAGTTACTGGAACAAAAAACATCCAGCAAAATTTAATCATATTTGTATGGATTATATCATAAGAAAACTTGAACAATAGTAACAAAAAAAAATAGATCAATTAGTGATCTATAGACAGAAAAATCATGCAGTTCATTATCATCCTTTAACAATGACCAATGAATAAGCATTTATTGTTCTACATAATAGTGAGACACTATCGTTAACTGATGATATCCAATTGAAGAAATTCTCAGAAATAATAAAAACCAAATTGAAACAATATTTCATTGTATCTATTAAATTGATTATAATTGAATAGTTTATTTTTCTTTTTCTCTGATCAATTTCGTTTAAAGTATTTTTCCATCAAAAACTACATATTTCATTATGTGTAGTAATCGACATTCTTATCTAGCATTGTACAATAATTAATTACAAGCAGTCTATATATAAATTTTATTAGATGCTTTATTTATCTCATGACTTAAATATTAAGAACTAGATATTGTTTTAACTTAGATGACAGAACTATCTGATCTATTAAATGCTTAACAAGCATTAATTGATAAAAAAATGTATTCTTAAAAACTTCGTCATGACTTATCTTAACATTTTATTCATATAGCCTATATGTATATTTAAATTAATTCAAGTGAGATATAGATACAAACAAACTATAGCTTGAATAATGTGCTGGATATATCATCAACAATTGATTAATATTATACAACATAGATCACGGCATAATTTTGTACGACATTAACGAGATGATATATGGAAACAGTTTGATTGGCATGTCATTGAATAGAATAGAAAGACATCGACGCCTGACGGTACATATTATAGTAGCTGTAAGTTAATATAATTAAAACAACAAACGCTGAAATGACAAACCAAATATTTCTTTTCGTTCTCTTTTGAGAAACTAATCAGGGTTAGTTTTTTTTTTTTCTAGTTTTAATGAATATTTATTCCAGTCCAATAATATTCAACGAAAGAATCAAGTTCCAAATGAAAGTAAAGAATTTAATTCAAAGAAAATTATGAAAAACTTAGATAAATAAATTAATAAAAAAAAAAATATGTTTTTAATTTTAAATAGAAGAAAACAATTAGTTTCAATGTTATACATTTTTTTTTTGAAATCCTTGACTCGATATTTCATATACGATGAATCACATTACAATAAAATATTGAAAATAAAAATAAAAAGCAGAACCAAATCAGACAAATTATTAGGATTTACGGATGAAACTCTTTTTATGTCACTTTTGTGTCTTCTCGTTGTACATATATTGTAATGACAATATATCAAGCAATATTGATCCGAATGTTATATTATTATTAATGTATACATTTATTGTATATATATATATGGACAAATCGAAATTAATATACGAGACATAGACTAAAATGAGAAGCCATAGTGAATTGCATTTCTATTGTGTATATATTTGTAAGAAAAGAATAACGACGATGAAGAACATTCTCTCTGCACAATGAAGATGTTAAAAGTAGATTATTTGTATAATATGTAATGATTAACATCAATCAATATGCGAACAAGCTAACAGACTCATTTTTTTACTCATTATAATATAGTCAATAGTCTAAACTATTAATAACAACAATCACTAGTCTCAATATCGTTGGTTCTAATCGAATAATATGCTAATTGAAGCACAAGACGATGTGTTCTCTCATTTTTCTCTTCGTATATATATCGGTCAAGATGTTTGACCTTTTTAGGTTCTTCTTGTTCATCGTTATTCTTCCCTTTTCTTTTTTTTGCTTCTCTCCTCATGCTTCATGTTATTTGTTGTCCTTTTAAGTGACCAGACATCTGCTTTGAGAATGTTGATAGGAATATGCAACATAATAATACTTCCGTCATATTTATATTTATTATATAATTGTTAATCATATATTTTATGGTAAGATTTATGATAAATACGAACATGTTTGTATCATGTTTACTATATAAGAAAGAAAGAAAGAAAAAAAAAAAAAAGGAAAGAGAATTAAAGGATACCATCTGGTGCATCTCTTTTCAACAATCAATCAAATATTATCAAAAAGAGTCTGATCTTTCTTTACTAGACTTGTTACATCATTGTTTCCCATCCAGGACGCTTGTCGACACTTCCGAGGTCTCCCTTTTTCTTCTTACTCTCCGTTTATGTAATCTGAGTAGTAGAGGGTGATAAGCGACGATGACAACGACAACGACAACGACAACGATGATGATTTTATTCGATCTTGAGTCTCTCTCTCTTCTGTCTATCTGTCTGTCTCTCTCTCTCTCTCTTTGTGTCTTTCTCTTGGATTTGTGTGGAACAGAGTCAATCACACAAGCTGCTTCTGCCTTTCGTAATAAAATACACACATACCATACAAACACATACACGAAGAATATACGAAGGAAAAGAATAGGAAAAAAAAAAGGAAGAAGCAAACAGCTCCTATTACTACTACACAAGCACAAATGCAATGATGATGACAATCTTTTCCGAGCCTTTACCATTGGCATATTTTTTCGTCTCGTATTACTAGTTGTATCCTTTGTGTATTGTCACTCATATTATTAGTTGTTGGTATTTTCTGCTCTTTCGTATACTATAAAAACCTTGTAGATCTCAGGAATTTGTATATGTGTCTATTAATAATGAAGACACAAATTATTATCTTCAATTGTATTATGATTTATTGAATGATTTTCATTCGACGACGGCGAACATGTCGTCAAATATTGTTTTATTTATGATCAATCGTGATCATGGATTCATTATTGATAGTTATATTAACTTATTTAATATTATTCAAATGGTACATTCAATGTCAAGACGATTCCTCATTAATATCATCAGCTACTGTTGAAACTCAATATCTTACTTTTGATATGGCTCAATATGGTTTGAATGGTGGTGTTTTTTCAAGTATATACGTTTTAGATGTTTTATTTTTTGTCGTCTTCATCAATCTAAATTACTTTTTTATAGGTCCAAATTTTCCAAATTATTATCCACAAGATACAATATTATTTTATCAATTCATAGCATCACCTGATTATCGTGTTCAACTTGAAATAAATTTTTTTCAAATACGTGGTGTTACACCACAATGTACACATGATTATTTAGATATATTTATAAATGTAACTGATTTTAATAATGTTTATAATATAATGAATGATCAATTACTTCATCGTTATTGTGGTCGAAATAAACCACCACCACTTATATCATATACAAATTTACTTTTACTTGGATTTTTTACTGAAGATACACAAACAGAAAGAGGTTTTAATGGTACATTTCGTTTTATATCAGCACAACGTTATAAAAATAATCTTATACGTGAACCATGTGATTATTTATTTAATTCATCAATATCCAAACGTGGTGAATTTTTTTCTTCAACATATCCAGGAACTTATTTACCGGTAAAAAAATATAATAATCTATCTATATATTATACATATAAATAGATAAGATTTTTATTTTTTTAGTGGCAATTTTGTAATTATTCATTTGTTGGTTTACCTGGTGAACGTATTCATATTCGTTTTCGTGATTTAATGTTATTTAAAACACCTAATCAACAACATTGTCCTGTTGATTTAATTAAATTATATGATAATTCACTTAATCCATTAGAACTTCAACAATTTTTATTAAATTTTCATCAAACAAATATTATTAATTATCAAACATTATCTGAACAAAATGATCAACATCATATAACAGATCTTTGTGGTACTTATGTAATGCCTCTTGATATTTATTCTACAAGTAATCGTTTATTATTATATTTTATTGCAACACACTATGGAGAATCAACTGATGATGAACATACACAATCAAATAATAAGCCAATACGATTATGGAGAAAAGGTTTCTATGCTGAATATGAATTTTTATCAACATTAACTAAACTTGATTTTATATCAAAAAATAAATCAAATCAATATTTATTAGGTACTGAATGTGATCAAACAATTAAATCATTTGGTCAAGGATATGGTAATAATAAAAGGAATTAATTTGTTTCTTTTTTTTTTATTATTATTATTATTATTTATTGATAATTTAGGTGAAATTCAATCTCCTAATTGGCCACATTTATATAAACCACAAACATCATGTACAACTTATTTATTAGGTGTTGATGATCGTTATACATTAGAAAATGTTGAAATTGAATTTGATCAATTTGATATTGATTGTCATTTAGCTTTATTTGTAATTTATAATGCAAGTAGAATATATGATTATCGTTTACGTACACATTCATCATCTATATTAAGTAGTTCAATATCAATGACAACAAAAAAATCATCATCATTTAGTAATTATTATCAACAAGAACTTAATTTTAAAGAAAATCTTTCATTTTGTGGTCATTTTAAACCTGATGGACGTTTTATATCACAAAGTGCATTACTTAAATTATCACTTATACCAAATGATCGTTTATCAGAAAAAATTTTACCATTATTAAATCATGGTGGAAAATTTCACGTACGATATAAATTTGTTAGAACTTATCATCAAATATTTGCTGATGAATATGATAGAACAAATTCAAGTATTTGTAATCTTTATTATTATCAATCACGTACACATACTGGTAAGATAGAAAATATTATTTCAAAATTAAAATAATTTATTTATTCTAAAAAGAGAAAACAAAAATATGAGTGATCAATGTTTTTTTTTTTTTTAGGCAAATTTGAACCTCCACGTTCATCTGAAAATGATTATTTTGCCAATTCTAATTGTACATTTAATTTTTATATTTCAAATGAAAATTCTCGTCTTCTTATATGGTATGATTATTTTAATATTGTTGATAATAATTATGTTCAATGTTCATCGGATAATTTAACATATACATATCGTTCTTACATATCATCAACGTATTATTTATACCCATATATTTATTGTGGTTATCGAAATTTTCCTCCACCGTATCTAACTAGTCGTTCAACTGAACAATTTCGTATTCATTTTCGTTCCAATGATGATGATGATGCTGGTTTAGGTTTCTATGGACGATATGAATTTCTAAATAAGTCAAATATTTTATTTTCATCAACATGTCCAAGTCCATTTGATTCGGCTATTTATATTAATGAAACTGAACAACCTTCAGGAAATATATCAAGTAATGGTTATCCACAAAATGTCATCTGTGAATGGTCATATACAACAACAATTGGATTTCAATTTAATTTAGAATTAACTACACTTGATTTAGAAGGTTCAAAAACAAAAGATCCACCACACGGTTGTCAATCATCTGTTTTAAGAATCTATAGTGAAGGACGTATTGATGAATTATGTGGACAAGAAAAAAATTTGTCATTTATTTTAACTAATTCAAATTGGTTTACATTACAATTTATTTCTTTAATTCGTCAAACACATGAACCATTACAAGGTTTTCAATTATCATGGACAATTGTACAAGTTAAAACAAATATAAATAATAATCAATGTATATTATCAAATGATTATTTTGATTGTAAAAAATTTTCCAATAATATAAATGAAACATTATTTTGTATTCATCGTTCATTAATATGTGATGGTTATGTTCATTGTCAACCATTATCAAATGAAGATGAATTATCAAAAAATTGTTTTCATAATTTTCCAGTACGTTCTCATTTTTTATCATCATTAAAATTACGTCAACATTATATTTTAATTATAATTGTTACTATTCTTTTTATTGTTATCTTATGTATTGCTAGTATACTTATCTTTTTATTTATTAAAAAAAAACAACAACAACGACGACGACAACAAGAACATATACCAAATGAAACAAAAACTAATATGACTGATATATATATACATGCTGATGATAATAATGATCAAGATTTAATTCATATGAGTATTTTGGAACAAGCTGTTACTACAGTTTAAAAAGAAATAATTAATATAGGTTAAAATCAAAAAAAAAAAAAAAAGAATTTCTATGTGTGTACTATTCCGTCCGATTCATTTTTGTGTCATTTTATCTTGTGTAAACAAGAGAAGAAAATAAAAAAAAATAAACATGTCAGGTTAATTTTATGTGTCATCAATAGATAATTACGATAATTGACTCTCTATTTATGAAATATCAGCTCTCTTTCTCTGTCTCTCTGCTTTTTGTATATCCGTAAAAGATGAAACATGATTACTCCAATTATAGATTCTACCACAGCATAGAAACAAACTTGTCTCTTTTTTCGACAAGGTTATACTAATTACGTCAAAATGGCTACTGGAGAATTCTAATGTCATTCTATGTTGTTCTTCTACAATTGATTCTGAAAGGTCACGATGCCGACAAATTAACGTATACATTGCTATGATGTGCATTTCTAAACACCAGTCGTCTTCATCAACGATGTAACTTTCAATTTAGAGAATAAACTACATTAACTTTTCATAGAATTTATTCTCAATTATATTCCATTAACACATAATTTATAAATTGAAAAAAAAAACAACAAATTTTCCTTTTCATCATTCAACAGTTATGTCTACAGTATAAAAATTGTTATGTGATTATTTGTTATAGAAACATCGTTTGTTTTGTATTATCTTAAGATATTATTTCAAATGAAATATTCTGTTGTTAATATATTTATGCAGAAATAACTTTCATGTTCATGATTTTGTTTTTTTCTCAATGAAAATCTAGTTAAACAATTTTAGTGAATAAAGTATATGGAATGAATAAGGACTAAATAAATCAATTGAAATAATAATATAGAAAAATGTTCATTGATTGCATTACAAAGATTTAAAAATGGCCAACATCTTCATTTAGACTTTCAGCAAGTTTAGCATGTACAGCAACTTGTTCTGCTTTTCCATGGGTATCTGCTCGCCATGGAACATGATAAACACGAGCTGTTGCATATTTTTTATCTGGTAATTCAACCTATTTACAATTTAGAAACAATAAATATGAATAACGATGAGTTTGAAACGTATGTAATACCTTAAAAAAATAATTCATTCCAGCAACAACTTGTGTAGCAACTTGAACTGGTTTAAGTGTATGACTTGTAGGTACCTTAAATTGATCTTGAATTTTTTTTTCCAAATGTTGTTTGTACTATAGAAAAAAATTCATAGATATCAATTTAAGCAAAAATAGATTTTTACCATGTCCCACACTTTTAAATCGTCTTCATTTACTGGTCGAAGTCCACCGATACCACCACACATTTGAGGTCTGTAATAAATTTTTACACAATAGAAATAGTTAGCTTTTTAGAATTTCACTTACTTATGAACAGTGGGTTCACCGTGAGCAGTAGAATCTTTTTCAGATGACATTCTTAAATAATCTAAAACAAGTTGATACGAGCATCTTCTATCATTATATACGATCAAAAGTCAATAGTGAGTCATGAAAAATAAATCTGATGAATAAATTCAAAAAGTATAGCGACCTATGAATAACTCTATCTATTATCCTGTGATAGATATGACAAAGCGTTTCTTTTTTTTATCTTTTCTTTCTTGCTCATCATTAAATTCAACATTAATGTTTTTTTTTTCTTTCTCTGTTTATAATCAAAACAATAACAATGATTTATATTTGTTTTAATGTAGCCAATACGAAACTTCTTTCCAGTATTCTATAGATGTGCCACTAAAACACTTTATTATATATTTTTTTTTCTGTACTGGTGAACAAACAGCTCATTATCGAGATTACTAAATCGATATTTTCGAAACTAGAAGTTCAACAGGAGTTTTGTTTTTCGAATACTCGGAAGCATTTAGTGGCGTTTTTGTTCGCCGAAGCACCGGCGACTTTCTTCTAATAAAGCAATAACAGTAAAATTTGCTGACAAGCGATATCAAAAAAAAACAAAGAAATATAATCAAAAATATGTTATATTATTGATCTTTTCATATTCGTTGATGAAAACATACCAACAAAATAAAAAATAAGTTTACTTATAAAATTGATAATAGATTATCCGATTATTATGAATATCGTTATTCAGGAAAGATTCATGATAGAGATTCTATTTTAAATGAACTCTCAGAAGAATCAAGATTAGGTTGTTTAGTTTTTTTACTGTGATCTATTAGAAAAAATGAAATAATGAAAATATTTTAATTTAAATTTAAATAGGATACTATTACATGTAATTATGGATCTCTTGTTTCAAATGTATTTCGTACAAGAAGATGTTGTTAATATAATTAAATCTGATGGATAAGTTTCAACAACTTTATCATATAGATATTATTTTGAAGGTTAATTCATTTTTCTTTTCTTTGTTTTTTAAATTTTTTCTTTAGAAATTTGTTTATTAACACGAGCTAAATGTACAGCTGGTGTTCGTGTGTAACATATTGTAACTTATATTCGTTAGATTCAAGTAAATTTGAAATAGTTCGTGAATCATATTCATTAATGAGAATAACAATTGAATCAGCCGCTGCTGAAAGATTTATTAAATGAGAACAAAATCCTTCAATAATATCAACATCACATGATTCAAATATTGATACAGCTATTTTAAAAAATATTATTAATCATATTACACTTGAGACCGAAAAGGAGAGAATATTTTGTTCCTTGTCCTGACCTTAATATTTTTTCTTCACTTTCACGTTAGACTTCTATTAGATGCTTGTATATTTTGATCATGGGATTCATTGGACTACATATTTCAAAAAAGACACAGTTCAAGAACAATCGATCTTTTACTTTGTGATTTTGTATCGAACAAAGAAATAAAATATTGTTAATAGCTGTTGGATTTGAATTAGATCTAATTTGTTTGACAACTTGACCAGTGCCGAAAACTCTCTTTCAAAAACAGGCGCATTACATATAGAGGTTTGCAGATTCCCTTAGATACTGGAAATCGAAACCAGCGGTTTATTTATGTTTCCGATTAATACAAGCGAGAAAAAAGGCTCCAAACTCGATTCCTTTAAAGCTTTTTCAGAACCATTGATCTAATGATAGCATCGGAGACAAGAGATGCAATAATTTTTCCCTAGAAATTCGTAAGTTATATGTCACTTTTCGAAATTGTTAAAGTTATTATTTTTGAAGTAGCGATTTCTTTACAAGATAAAAAAAGTTAGAGAAACGAATGAGATAATCATGCCTGTTCATCAGGTGTATAATATTTTCACTAACAACCGAAAACAACTGTAAGAAAAACCAACTTTTTTAGGTGCCAAATCATCGTTGATAGAAAAAATCTCTCTTTTAAAAAGGGCACAGCTCAAAATCATAATACAAATGAAAGAGTACATCGGATCAGAGATGGACAAAGTCGCACCGCGCCTCCCCGAGCTTCTCCGCGCCGTTGCTCACGCCTACGCTACACTAGTCTGAGCTTCGATGAGCGCATGCTTAGAGCATCCCGGTATTTGGTGGAGTTTGAGAAACTGATTGGTAGAGCAAAGAGAAAGAGAGATGTGCGTAGCGCCTAGGCGCGAGCAGTGGCGCGGGGAAGCGCGGGGAGGCGCGGTGCGATTTTGTCCATCTCTGCATCGGATTATCGAACCCTGACTATTCTGAAAAAAAAATGATTTTTTGACGGCGATGGATTTTTTCAGGGACCTTATTCATACTGCTAAATATTTTTGACTTTTCTTTCCATTTAATTGCAAGATTATACACATAGTTTGCTATTTATGAAATCAATGATTGGTCTCTCCAACTTCAGATTATGCGACACTTAACCATTTGGTGATGAAGTCCGTCAATTTACGGTTTCAAAGTTTAGTTTGAGACAAATGTTCTTAACTATACTAAAAGACGGTTTTTTCGTATGTTTTGTGTCTAACAATACGTCTTGTTAGCAACGGTTTGACATCCTAGCGCTCTATTCCGTATACTGAGTGCTAAAACAACTAGACTTACTGCTAGACACTTTCCTTCTCTTGTATCTTAAACAACAGACAGAAAAATGCTCGGAAATTTTATATTGTATGTAATCGTTCAAAAAGAAGACAAATCAAGAGAATAGATTGATGTTATACTTGCAAAGATTGTACTGTGGACATTTCGTGTGATGAACTGCTGTGAAGAATTACACATTTTATTTCATTTTCAGTTCTTTTCTTTCTTTTATGTTTTATTTTTCGTATGTTACATGGTAGCTATGTTAGAATTTTTGGGAAATTGTTTTGTTTTCGTTACTTGAAAATAAACCAGGGACATCTTCAAATTAAGACTTAATAGAATACTTATGATCTTAAATAATGTTCGAAGTGTAATGAATGTTGACAATAAAATTTTAGTTTCTTTTCTTAAAAAACTTTGCTCTCAAAGGACTAAACAGCTCTCTAGTTATCAGTTCAAATTCTTAGGTTATAGGTGCCATAGAATTCGAGATATTCAACGAAAAAGAAAAGAATCTGAAATATTTCCAATAACAAGAAAGAAAAAAACAAATTCTATACTTTCAACAATCTTTATGCTTCAGTAAGTTTTTCAGAAAGTAGAGGATAGATATTTTAACAACTACTGAAATACACTCTCAAATTTCCATAATATAAGTTTTATTTTTTATTATATTCAATTAGAAATTAATCTAAAAATTGACAAAAAAAGAAGCTAAATTTCATTCTATGATTAAGTATTGGTTTCTACAATATAAAATTGAACAAAATTGATGTGTGATTACTTCTCATTCCAAGATCGTTTGTTTATAGTTGTCTTTAAAAGTTATTTAAAATGAAAAAAATACAATACAAATATATTGATGTAAACAAATCTAATGTCATTGGTTTTTCTTAATGAGAATCTAGGTGAATAGTTATAGTGAACTAAGCATACACAATTAATTATGACTAAATAAATTAATAGAAATAGCTAGATATGAAAATGTTCATCCATTATATTGCAAAGATTTTAAAACCAACCCATGTCTTCATTTGGATTTTCACTAAGTTTAGTATGTACAGTGACCTGATCTTCTTTTCCATGAGTCTCTTGTTCCCATTCAATATGATAAACACAAGCTGTTGCATATTTTTTATCTGGTAATTCAACCTATTTACAATTTAGAAACTATGAATATGAATAACAATGAGTTTGAAACCTATGTAATACCTTAAAAAAATAATTCATTCCAGCAACAACTTGTGTAGCAACTTGAACTGATTTAAGTGTATGACTCGTAGGTACCTTAAATTGATCTTGAATTTTTTTTTCCAAATGTTGTTTGTACTATTGAAAGAAATTCATAGATATCAATTTAAGCAAAAAATAGATTCTTACCATGTTCCAAATTTTAAAGTCTTCTTCATTTAGTGGTTGAAGCTTACTGATACCGCCACATATGTCTTCTCTATATAGGATTTTCCAGAGTAGAAATATTTAAACTCTTAACCATTAACTTACTCGATTATCGTTGGTTTAATTTGAGTAACAGAATTTTTTTCAGATGACATACTTTTAAAACCTAAAACTAAGAGATATGGACGTTTTCTATGATTATATACGATTAACTGTCATTATACATACATGAAAAGCAAGAATGATTAACAAGGTCGAAGAAAATATGGTGTTGTACTTATTTGTATGTGAATGGTAAGCTCGATTGCTTCTTTTTCTCTTTTCTTTCTTACGTATTATTAACTTCAATGTGAATATTTCTTTTTTCTTGTTCTATTCATAATCAAAATAATAACACTAATTGATATTTATGTTCATATAGTCAATACAAAATGTCTTTCATATTAGTTGTAGATGTACTGTCATAGCGCTTGATTGTAATTTTTCTTTTCTTTTCTGAAGAACAAACAACTGATCCTTATTTAGATTTATTTATTTGAATAGTTGTTTTTAGTTCTTGAGAGTAAATATATCAAATATATTATAATAAACTATTAATAGATAGATCAAAGTATATTTTATTTTGTTGATCACAAGAAAAATTAGAGAAAAAATGAAAAGTTTTATTCATATATTTTCATTTTTAGATAATACTAAAACTCAAGAAAAAAACTAGTTTACTAGTGTTGAAAATAATAATGGTTTTGTTTTATTTTCCGTTCTATCAATCGCAATGTTATTCTTGTAATAGGTGAATCATAAGCTAATGAAGAACGATCAATTATTGATACGTGATTAGGTTTCTGTTTTATTTCATAGCATAACGAAAATTAGATTCGTTAGATCATCACGCTTTCACGGGCAGTCTTTACTTTATCACAAGGAAATAGAAAACAGCTAATAATTGCCCTTATTTACACTATTTCGAATGGGTTTTTTTGACAAAGCGTGCAGCAGAGTGTTCTACAACTCACGATTTTCTGGTTACAATTAGGAAGAAATCTTGTTTCATGATGTGGTGATCTTCTTCATACGTACGATAGTGAATGAATAGATGAAGTATACATAGCCTTAGTACGGATAAGACAAGTGATGAACGATTGGAAGAAGTCAAAGTTGAACGGAACCTTCTAATAATGAAATACTTTTTGATCGTACTAATGTGTTTTATTTATATACAGCTGATGGTTTACAGCTGAATCTTCGTGAAATCGAAAACATAAGTCGATATCTCACGTGCATACATCTGATAATCTTCCATAGATGCCTTCAAAAGTACTGCTCAATACTTTGTCTAAGTTGTTCATCAGCAAAAATGGTCATGCTCAAGTGTTACATCAGGCGAATATGAATACTAAATTTCAATAAACTCATGTTAGCAAAGCGTTGGTTATGTCCCCAACTGACTCTTCCAACATCCAACGAAGTCACACCATCAAAAGACTCTTTGTTAAAATGTCTGTAGATCCCTGCCCAAAAAATATAGATACGTCTAAAATATGCGATGACGAACATCTAAAAGCGAAATAATGATTGACCACGAGTTTACTTTCAGCATTCTGTTTTTCTCAAAAAGTTCATCGTGTTCTCTATTTCTTCTCGTCCAAATCCACTGATTTCGAAGTAGACTATGGTGGGTGTCTTTGCAAAAAATTGAAATAGTAAAGAGCGAAATGATGTGATTAACAGGCAGTAGTTTGATTCTTGAACGGTTGACTATCCTTTGACCGTTATTCTATCGCAGCATACGAATATTTTTTTTTCCAACCGATCATTTACTATATGTATACCGCTGGTTGTGTGAAAACAATAGCAACATGGGATTACAAATGATGCACTTATTGAAGAAAAAAAATAGAAACTGGGTATTCAAATTTCAATTGTTAATTTTGATGCCTGATAGATCTAACAATTTATTATATCTATTCCACGCTGAAATATTTATTTCCACTAAGAGAGATGCCCGATCACATTTATAAACTTCAATCAAAATCGAATTTTGGGGGTATTTATTTAAAAAATAAATAAATAAATCCAACAATTCGATACAAATCTTCTTGTCCTACCTCTTCTGATGAACTTATTTGATGAATTTTTTTATTTTTATTTTTTCGATTGACGCAGTACCTGATATTATGAAATAGCCTGTGGTATTTTTATTGATTGTCATAGTTCAAATGAAATTGGTGAACCTTTTTGAATCATTTAATTTTATCTTGTCTAATGGTTTCCTTTTCTTCCAAATAATAGATGAACATGTATGGGTTTTTTTTTAGTTTTCTTAGAACTAACTGGTCTTATATTTCCGTGAAATGAAATGTGACCCACGACATCTTCAATGCACAATTACATTAGTATCTTAGTAGGAAATTTTCTCATCTATGTTGAGATTTACAATTTTTCAGATAATTATTATCAAAATCATGCCCGTTATCACTCGTGCTGCAGCATTACGATCTCAAACTACTGATGGTGGAAAACTGTTACTTTATCGAATAATATCCGTAACAACATCTGCAAGCAAAACAATTCGAAAATGTCGATCAAAACAAAAACAATGTTATTAAAATCAGATTCATCCTGTTCACCCTCAAGTTTATCACCAGATCTTAACTAAACTTTTCTCGATAACTTTTTTGATATATCTTATTCTCGCTTTCTTCCTATCATTTTTTTTCTCTTATTCTTACATCGTTTGACATCATATAACCCAATTTATTTTCTATTCCAGCACCTCATAACTAAAAATTTATATGATCATATTTGAATATATTCTAAGTATATGTATCAGAGTACATTTAAAGAATACAAGGCGTAATTCTCGCATATGTGCTCTGTTCATAATGTTCGTCGCCAATTGCTGAAAATACATTCGACTTTCACCAGTACGGGCATAAGTCGATAAGACACTCGCCAATCAATTGGCGAAAGTTGAATGAACCTTCGCCAATTCACACTCCGGACACTCGCCAATTGGCGAAAGTTCAATAGACATTCGCCAATACATCCTTCAGACTTTCGTCTATAATTGGCGAAAGTCTTATTGGTGAAGAGCGTGGATTCCGATACTAACTATGATAAATTGTTGTCGATACCTCAAGAAAACTCTAGCTAAGTTTTGAATATTGAAAATTCTTTTAATCTATTGAATTTCGGTTCTCATTCTATGCATGAATATTGAACAGGATTTGTAGGTATATGAATTATAATACATTTTAGTTATATGTACGGTCTCAGTTCATCACGGTTATAAAAACTACAATCATCAGAATAATAAAATACAACATTGATACCTTCGATTAAGTATTTTTACATGAATATAATCACAAAAGATTTATTTATTAAAACAAAAAAAAATTGAATTATTCATATAAATATATTGTTACCAAAAAAAGCATGTTCGTATATCAACATTTATGTTATATCGTTTTTCCTTAGATAACCTTAAGGTTAAGTAAATCCATTTTTCTTTTTTCGTTCTATATTGACTGAATAAAGTGTGGGGTCCTTATCTAAACATTCGGTTTTGTCAACCTATATTAGTTGAAAACATAAAATAAAACAAAAGATGAGTGAATCCTATGATTTTGCTTTATGGTCACATTACTATCGTGATAATCTTCTTTCAAATATAATACCATTTTGGCTTCGTCATTCAATTGATACTGAATATGGTGGTTATTTTACATGTCTTGATCGTTATGGTCAAGTTTTTGATACAGACAAATTTATTTGGTTGCAAGCACGACAAGTTTGGATGTTTGCAAAATTATGTCAAGATAATGATTTGAATATTTCTGATGATGAACGAAAACAATGGTTAAAGACAGCACAACATGGTGCAGAATTTCTTGAAAAATATGGTCGACATCCAACAAGTGGTCAATGGTATTTTTCTTTAACACAAAAAGGTGAACCACTTATTGAACCATATAATATATTTTCAAGTGTTTTTGCTTCAATGGCATTTGGACAAATGGCTAAAATTGATAAAATTAATAGTGAAAAATATAAAGAAATAGCATTAAATACATTTAATGATATACAAAAACGTCGTTCAAATCCTAAAGGTGAATGGAATAAAGCAAGTCCTTCATCACCAAGACAATTAAAAAGTTTTGCTTTGCCTATGATGATGTGTAATTTAGCTATGGAATTAGAACATCTTATTGATAAACAACTTATACAAACATTAACACAAGAATATATTAAAGAAATAATTGAACAATTTCGTCAATCCGATTCTGGATTAATTTTAGAATATATTAATGCTCAAGATGGTTCAAGAAATGATTCGTTTGAAGGACGACTTCTTAATCCAGGTCATGGTATTGAAGCAATGTGGTTTTTACTTGATATTGCTGAACAACAAAATAATAACGGATTAGCTTCAATTTGTATTGATACTTTATTAAGCATATTAAATTATAGTTGGGATGATAAATATGGTGGAATTTTTTATTTTCTTGATATTGAACAACGACCACCACAGCAACTTGAATGGGATCAAAAATTATGGTGGGTTCATCTAGAAACATTAATTGCATTAATTAAAGCTATTGATCATCGACCAGATAAAATAGATGAATTAGTTAGTTGGTTAAATAAAGTACAGAAATATACTATTGATCATTTTGTTGATCCAGAAGGTGGAGAATTATATGGATATTTAAATCGACAAGGTGAAGTTTTATTAAATTTAAAAGGTGGAAAATGGAAAGGATGTTATCATGTACCCAGAGCTTTTTATTTATGTTGGAAAACATTGGATAAAATCAGCAAGAAAAAATAAACAAATTTTTATAATAATATGAGTTTTAAAAATAAATCATAAAATAATTATATTCACGTTTAATAAGATACGTCCAATAATTGTATACTGATGAATATAATTCAATAAAGCTATTAGAATAATAAGTTGACATGTTTATCGACTGTTCTTTTTTTTTTTTTGAAGAATAAGAAGTGACGGCTGATCTCAGATATTATTGTAATAAAAGATTCAATCATATTGAACTTTGTCAAATGTATGATAGAAACATTCATTTTATTATGACGTAGCGCTTTGAACAATTTCAAACTGAACTTATTTTAATATGTATTATATCGTATTCGTGAGATTAAATGATTTTGGGAAACAATGAAGAAAGTTTTAGATTATTACAAATAATTGACTTCAATCACATAAGAAATATAGTTTTATTGAGAATAAGTATGAGAGGTAGGAGCTTATTGAATTCTCAACCGATTTTTAAATATTAAGAATGTTTCTCTTCGTACAATGGTAATTATTTCTGAGTCAGGCATATGCATCATCAGTGCTTTAATCACATCAGCTATTAAACTCAAATGCTAGGAATTTCTAAAAAAGAATGTGTATCAAACGGTGAAAGGCTAACGAAAGGGATTTGGTCATCGACAAACTAATTCTTTCTGGCATGTTATTTGTTAAATTGTTAAATCAAATTATAATCAATGTTGATTAATATTTATCTTGATAACAAATCGATCTAATTGAAAACTTGAAGAATTTCATTGTGGCGAGCATAAGAATATGTAAATTTGTCTTAACCTTAATTGTGCGTAAATTTAACTGCAAAATAAGTTAAGACGGAAATAAAGACCCAATAAGTTAACAAATATATGTCTGATTACATCTTGCCTAATTAAATACTCTTTCATGATATTTTCAAATTTATTTTGTCGTTCTTAGGTAAGTCTTCAGAAATAAAGCACTACTTTTTAAGACATATTATCAAGCCTATACATATGAGGAGAACATTGACGAAAAAAAAAAATTGTTAAATCATTGTTAGATGCGGGCCGTTTCGCGTGTTTCGAATAAGGAAGCTATGAAGCCGTCCGAGGAGACTTTGCACAGTGTCTACTTTCACTACCGTTCTTTGCGCCGCTCCTAACTCATTCTTTTAGGTACAGTGCACATCTCTATTCTGGGTGTGAAATATTTTCCTATCTTAAATGATTACATTGTACTTGAAAATTTCTTTGTTGACTTCATCTTATTATGAAGTAAGTTTTTGGTATTTCGTGAATGGTTTCTCAATCACATTTTGTGCTTCAAATCTTTTGTCACCATGCTAACTTTTATTTTTTCTTTTTACAAGAGGATTTCATATTATTCTATTTAAATAAAAACTTGTTCAAGGAAAGGTATTCACAAATATTTGATCAATGCTCTATCTATATCATGACATATAAAAAAAACGTTTAATAACTTGTCATAATATAAAGAGAGTTTTTCCATAAGGTTTATTATTTTCGTCAATGTTTACAATTTGACGGTATACGATGATAATATGATGTATATACGACGACAATTCTACTATGTACTATCATCTGAACTTAGCCGTAGAGACACCGTATACGAGCATCGTAACAAAGCATTTGATTGCTACAAATGATACCAATTTTTGCATTGATCTTTATTTCGGAAAAAAGATACTATGCAATATAAAATATTTTTCACCAGATATAAATTTTAATTTTCGCAGTGTGTTCAGTCAACACACAAAAATAAAATACGTTCTAGTGAAAATTTGTCATGATCTATTAGTCAATCATTCATTCGTCGTTCTGTTTTTTCACATGCAGTGACATATAGCCAAGGTCACGAAACATACTGAACTTATACATCCTATTAAGTCTCTTTTCCAGATTATTTATAGATTAATCTTTAGTTCAGCTCATATTATGAGATCGACCAGCAGTCGAGACTGGACCATCTTGAAGTAGTTTTATTGAGATCAAATCGACTTGAGATAGTTGCATCTTAGGATTTTATTGTCTTGCATTTCAAGAACAGTTGCCAATGATTCAATTCAAACTGAAAAAATAGTAATTATTCAATTTTCAAGAAAAAAAAAATAACAGACGTATCGAAGGAGAAATTCAAATCATGCTTTCAGCACGTGTCAGAAGCTTGTTGTGAGAAATGTTTCGAAACGAACATCTTGTGTTGCAAAATATGACACATGTTACATATTTTTTATAAGCATTCATGAATACTGTTTGTGACTATATTGTACGAAAAACATTAAAATCGCAAAAACTGTTGATTTATTCTAGGACAAAGGAAATCTTAGACAAATATATACTGACGTGTGAAAATGAAATTTATTTTTTCTGGCTTGATTACGAATATCCTCTTCACACAGTCAGCAAAAATTTCTATGCATATACATAGTAATACTCAGACTAGACCTCTAGCCAACCCAAGGTCGACTAGAAAAGTCGGCTGACTGCAGAGCCCGAAAAATATCAAAATCTGGTCCTATACGACATCTACTATTTATAAATCTTAGACTCATGTAGAGGAAATCATAATGAAACGGAATCGTAGATTTCCATATAAGGAAGCTCTCAGCTGTTCATTATCGTTCTTCGTATCACATCTGTATAAACCATGAAGAGATCTTTTTAAACGTTTGAGACTCCTTCATGGATGAATTTAAGTTATGCAAGACGATAATTAAAGTATATATGCATATAAGATCTAAGATATCAATGGTCTTTTAAGACTGAGTCATGTATAAACATATAAGGAAACTAACAGCTGTTAATTATCACTTTTCGCATTATTTACGTCTCCCCAACACTGCCGAATTTCGAAAAATCAGGTTTCAGATGTGCACTCGCCACGTTCTCGGGATCTCGTCAAACTTTTTTCCGACTAAAAATGATACTCAGGAGCTGAAAACGAGTGGTTGACTTGAATCGGGACTCATGTGTTGAGAAGAAGAATTTGCTATGACAACTACGCGAGTGAAAAGCAATAAGTCGTAATATTTATAATTGTTTCTTGTAATAAACAACAAATCTTAAAATAAACAAATTACACAAGTGTTTATGCAAAGACTTCAATTCGAATTGATAATTTTTCTTTATTGTCTATAATAAAGATACATTATGAAAACTTTGATTTGTTGAGATGAGTTTCTTTTTCTAAATAATGATTTTTCGCAATTAAATATTTAAAAGAAATTTATGTTTGATAATCGAACAAAAATCAATCCAAATTGGTCATTTTTATCTTAAAATAAATTGAATGCCTCCTTTTTCTTTTATTTCATTATTGATCCAATCTCATAGTAAAAAGAAAAAAAAACAAAAAAAAATCCTATATATATACATATAAAACTAGACAGGAACAGTTTTTATTTTATCACTCTGTCGATGTGCATATGGTAAGGCTTCACTTGGTTTTAATTTTATATGTGCCATTGCTGGATCACCACCCATTAAAGCCAAATGTTCTGTTCCTTTACTTTCAAAAAATGTATACGATAAACTAATATCACGAACACCTTGTAAACTAGGATCTCGAACAAAATCTGGATCAATATAAAAAAATACTGGCATATCAATCTCTTCACCCGGTTCTAAACGTTGTTCTTCAAAACAAAAACATTGAATTTTATTAAAATAAAATGCTGCTTGTGATGGTTGTACATTATATGTTGCTATACCAATAATTGGTCGATTCGATTCATTTTTAGCTCGATAAAATGCTAAAGCTGTTTCACCTGGTTGAATTGTTATATCTGGTTGTTCTGGTACAAATGTCCATGGTAAGAGTGATGATGGTGTAGATGAAAAATGTATTCGTATTGATGGATGTGATTTATCTAATCGTTGAAATAATTGTCTTACATTTGCTGAAACAATTTCTTCATCTTCAATATTTCTTATAATTCCATCAAAACCTGTTGCTTCACAAAACATTTTATACAAAGGTACAGATGCATAAGTTAAACCAAGCATTAATATAGCTATTGAACTCATATAAAGTGCTATATTAACACGACGATTTTTTTCATTACGTTCAAATTGTTGAAATGATTTTTCATAATCTTTTCTATTATTTAAAGTCGATTGTTCTATCTGGTTGTTAGTATTAGTATTAGTATTTTTATTATTTAATGATGATGAAAAACGTTTTAGAATTATAGAGAATGATGATGATGGTGGTGGTGGTGGTAGTGATACATGAAGATGAAGAAAATTTTTCAATAGAAATGGGCGTACGACATGACGTGATATTAAAAGATTCATGAAAATCTATAAATAGAAAATAAAAAAAACAACTTGTCCGATTGAATGAAAACAAATTCTTGTTTTTTTTTTTTTTGGTGTATAATATTTCGTTCTACCGATATAGATTTTATCGGTTTGATCTTGTTTTCTTTTTATTTCGATTTTTTTTAACCTAAATTTTTGGTTACAAAAACAAAAGAAAACACTTATTTCTCTTTTTTCGGTTTTTTCTCATCTTCAGCTGCTTGTTTAGCTTTCTTTTCACGTTGTCCAATTAATCTTGCATCAGCACGTGCCATACGTAAAGCTTGAAATGCTTGAAATTTCATATCAACATCATTAATTGGTCGAGCTTTTTCACGTGTCACTCGTTGTTTAACTGGCATAATACGTTTTTTAAGTTGTACAGCCAATTTGATTTCTTCTGGTTTAGCATCGTTCTTCTTCGGTTTATCAGCTTTCAATGGGAATAGAATAAGTTTGCCAAGATATTGTTTCAAACGTTGAACATTGAGCTAGAAGACAAAATAATCAAAGTTAACAAATAATATTTTATAATTTATCAAAAAAATTAAAAATTACTTGATAAGCTTCAGTTGATTTATTGCGTCGTCGATGATCAATAGAAATACCAATTGTTCGTGCATATTTTGGATGAAGACCAGCAGCACGTACTTCATCTAATGAAAATCCTCGTCCAGCACGAATTTTCATATTATAACGACGTGTTGTACTATGAACAATTGGACGTAATGAACCTTTAGTTGGTCGAGGAGCAACACGTTGAGCTTTAGCTAAACGTTTTTGATGACGTCGTGTTTTACGACCTGCTTGATCAAACCAAGTACGAACATGTAATTGCCACTTTTTATTAAAGTGAGCATTTGGTATGACGTTGTTATGTTTCATGATCGGATGTCAATCTAAAAAGAAAAACAACAAAATATAAGAAATATATTGAATTTATTTGCTTCAATTGTTGATATAATTATACAAAGTCCTCAGATCTCATAATCGATATCATGTGAGCCCACATACATAAGGCGAATGAACTGCTGCTTAAAACGAAAAAAAACATATTTTTCTTTTTTTGAATAAAAATTAAGTAGTTGTTCATTCGTCTCATGCTTCAAATGCTCTTCAATCGTCATTTATCATCATCGGACTTTATCAAGAATAAATCTGCATCAGTAGAAGAATTTTTCTTTCAAAATAAATCAGACTAATCTGTCTTAAATATAAATGTACATCATATGCAGAAGTTTTTTTTTAGAAAGAAACAAAAAAAAAATTAAAAAATGAATGGTTTATGTTTATCTGTAGAGATTTTATAGCAATGGGTAAATTATGGATTGATTGTCTATTTGATCGGAGGAATTCATTTATAAAAATATTATTTAAAATATAAAATATAAACACATAGAACTGTTTTTTTTTGATTATAGTAAGAAAATTTTGTTTTTATTTTAATTATTTATTCTCATTGGATTGTTTATAACTAATGACACAATAAAATGAGTCATCCGGTGTAAGATTCTATTTTTTTTCTCTTCAATACGTTCTTCAATTATAATTTAGCTAGATAGTTATATTAAGTATTGAATTGTTAATCAAATGTCGTCATACGAGAACGAAAATTTTGAACCTCTTGTTGTTCTTCAATTTTCATCTTCAACACCACCTGCAACAAAAGAATGGGTTATCAAACGGTTAACCGCAAGTCATAATGATGATCAAGGTGCAGGTTTACTTGCTCAATATGAAACTAGTCCAGAAAGTGATGTGAGATTTTTTTGTTTTTCTTTATTTTAAAAATAAATTTGATTTCTTATTTTATAGAATAATATAATTCTAATTGGTGCTACTTTAAGTCGTTTATTAATTGGAGCAGAAGAATTACGCATTAAAAAACGTTATAAAAATAAAGGTTTAACTGAATTTCTTATCTCGGATATTGATCATTTTGAGGGTTCAGGTAAAAATCTATTATAATGAAATTAAGAAAAAAAAAAAATTTCAAATTTGTTAGAAAATCGTGAAAGTCTATTACTTAAATCGGAAAAACAACGAATAATTTGGGAAGAAATACAAAATTTACATCCAATGATACATGAACATACTGTACCAGGTGTACCAACTAAATTGATTTCACCTAAAAATGATACTATTCGTATGTAAAAAAAAAAAAATTTCTTTGAAAAACAAAATAATTTATTATTTATATTGATTAGTTGATATTCTTCATAGTCTTGATTTTGTTGCTAATATTTTTCCATTACATGACAAAGAAGAAATAAAATTAATTGAACATGACTGGTTTAAGTCAATACGCTCAATATTTCAACCACGAGATATTCGTAAGAAAAAAAATAAATAATTTGAATTATATTTAATTATTTTCATTATAGATAAAATTCGAAATTATTTTGGTGAAAACGTAGCATTTTATTTTGCGTTTTTGGAATTTTATACTTATGCACTTATACCAACAGCTATTTTGGGTAAGAAAAACTTTTAAAAAGAAGCAATTTTCTTTTTCTTCATAATGATTGTAGATATTGCTTTAGTTCATATTGAGGAGTTTTGAAACAAAGAAATAGTAATCCAAATAATAATTTTTTTTCATGCGCATGAAACATTTGAGTATCTGGCGCCAGAAAATCATTTGATGTGGATATATTTTGAGAGCTTTTGATCAGTTCAAGTACTTGTAAGGACGATTAAAAATGAAATACTGTATGAAGAAAAAAGTACAGACTACACACATTAATAGTCTAAATCCGTCCCAATAGCAAGCTAACAATAATAATACTTTATTGGATCTTGTCATCTATCATAACCATGGAAGAAATATAAGTAACGTGTGAAACCACTTTTGATTAAATGTTATACGCGTTTTTCAGTTTTATATTTAATAGAATTCGACTTTCGATAGAAATGTATAGTTAAAATAACATAGACTATAATAGACAGGCCAGAAGAGAAGCTACATTAGATTCAGACATTCTGCGTGGTAAAGAGCATTCTTTCGTTCTCAGCAGAACAGATGTTATTATATATTGTTCTAATTGATTATTCCTAGCAAATATGCAAAATCTGCCTCTGAAATTAAAGAAAGATTTCTTCAAACGTAGATAATTTCTTGAAAAACTTTCCCTGACTATCAAAATAAAGAAAAAGTCGAAATCACTTTTTCTACTCACACATTCGAAAACATCGATTTATTAAACACGAAAAAGGCTTATATTAATTGTCGATTAACGAAAGCTATTTTCACTTCTAAATATATTACGTTGTATAGTTAAATAAAAGAACAATCTGTTTCAATATTTTATAACATATATATAAATCAAAGAAGCTTATGCTCTTGTTACTACAAGAAAAACATTGCTTGGTTCGAATTTCCAAAATAAAAAACTTCTGTGATAACTAAATAATTTTCTGGAATACTCCCTCCCCACAAATACGCCCTGGCTAATGTCTGGCTCCAAGTATCATCATGTGTACATAACTCATGCTAGAACTCTGATGACTGCCTACGAAAAGAAAGTTATGCGCTATGGACATATCTTGAGGTTTGCACATGAAAACAAAAGATTACCTTGAGTCTTCAGTGCCATAGTTTTTTTGTTCGTATCCTCAATTCAATATGGTTTCCAAAACGGACTCTTTTTTTAATGTCCTTGACATGCACAAACTTCAGCTGTCCATAGTGAGAGAATACTTCTCGCCATTCAGGGTGTATGAGGCTAGTTACTCGTATAGATTTCTTCATATTAAAATATGTGTTATCTAAATTGTAAATTTTCATTACAACCAAGGTCATTTTTCAGCATGAGGTGGAAGAATAAAAAAAGAGAAGTACGATATTCAATATACAGTGCAGCTCAATAGAATTTACCCCCTTTGTATTCTTCCTTTTTCTCAACCATAGTTTGGTCTTTTCTTTCGAAGTCACCTACCAAAAGAAAGAGCAGAATCTGCTGCATCTTTTGGTATATGAAACTTATAGATGAGATCGAAAGAGAGCAGAGAAAAACACATCGAGGAAAAAAAGTAGATTTTTTTTCACTACAATGTTGTGCATAACCTTTTGTTAGGGGGAGGCAGCACCATGTTTTTGAGTTGGATACCTGATGAATTTTATACCAAATGAAAGCTCGTGAAAAATAGAATTTATGCTTCCATTTAGTTACACTTAAAATATGGAAAAGAGGTGATAAATCCTAGAAAATCTCGAACTTCGTGTATTTTTTGCTGCAATTTTGCAATTATTTAAGGATGAAGGGGCCGGACTTTTCTAGTTACTCACACTTGTAGACCCTTCCACGCTGATCATTTCGGCTGAATTTATTTTGAGTTTTTCTAAAATAATTATAGCATCTGGGTTGCAATACTAATGAACTGCTTGGTTCCATCATCCACAGCACCTCCAAATCATGAATATTGTTATCGGAGCATTGTCATTTTGTAAGCGAAACTCGAAATAAATTCAGCCAAGATGATCAGCGAAGAAAGTTCTATAAGATTGAGTAACTAGAAAACTCTGCCTCTGTTACCTCCCTCTAGCAAAAGATTATGCACAACATTGTAGTGAAAAAAAATCTACTTTTTTTCCTCGATGTGTTTTTCTCTGCTCTCTTTCGATCTCATCTATAAGTTTCATATACCAAAAGATGCAGCAGATTCTGCTCTTTCTTTTGGTAGGTGACTTCGAAAGAAAAGACCAAACTATGGTTGAGAAAAAGGAAGAATACAAAGGGGGTAAATTCTATTGAGCTGCACTGTAATTAAAATTAGTTTCAAGCGTCACCAATATTGTTTTCATCATTATGCGAGATGGATGTGTGTGCGTGACAGAGTAGGCGAGGTTATGGAAGTGAATGAAAGGTATATTCAAATCCACACTGTTAGTTACACCTATCGTTTGAAAGGTTTTTAAAAATCACTAGCAACTTCTAAGCATAGATCACGATTCGTTGACTATCACCATATTTTATTTTTTTTTGTATAAACAAATTTTGGACATCATTTTATATACTAAATCCATTGTTTCTCATTATTTCTAATGTGGTCAATACTTTGTGACATGTGTCGCAATAAAAACCAATTATAGTATCCATCGTTTTATTCACGCTTCATAAACACGCTGTATATTAAACAATTAATGATAAGTGGCATCTACATGGAAAAAATAGCTAAAACGTTCCAAAAGAAAAGCTGCCCAACATCTAAAAACTGTTGAATAGGAACTGAAGCACTTGAATTGGCAACATATACCATAAAATGTTTGACCACAGTTGAATAGAACACTTTCTTATTACGAAGATTATTTCTTTATAATATATAAGAGCAAAATGATCCGAAATTGGTTGTCATTTAGACATTAATTTAGTGAAATAAACTATTAAAGTTTAAAAAGAATTTTATCTTGTTGTATGAAAAAGCAACGAATCTAAAAATCATTTCAGGTCTTCTGTAAAATTCTTTATGCTCGTCCAAGTAGTGAAAAAAGCAGAATGAGCCAGAGATGGAATGGGTTATCTGCTATTTCTGATGTACTAGCCGATCGTCAGTCTATCTATCTAATTTACTTTCCTGTTTTTACTATATCAACTTATTCAACATTTCTAGTTTTTTAAAGCTAGGACGTCGTTCTTATCTTATATGATCGCTTCTGTTACTTTTTTTGCTTCTTTCTGTAGTTTTAAATACGCTACACAAATTAAAAATGATTTAAGAAATGTAATTAATGTTTTCACATAGCAACACCAATCACATTTGTTATTTTACTTTTAATTCGCATAATTTAATCGAGGTCTCTGTCGTCTGTCATAACTAATATTTAGCTAAGCCAGTAGTCTGTGAAATTGATTACATAATATACGGTTGACTACTTTCCGTAGTAG